AAACTCATTCTATGTCGCAAAATTTTTTGAAAAAAAAAAAAAAAAAAAAAAAAAAAAAAAAAAAAATCTTACGAAATGATAGAATCTTTTCCCGATGGTAATGACACCAAAAGTACGAAATTTGGTCGAAAACTCAACTCACAGAATTACATTCCTGCAAAGTTAGCGGTCTCAGTGACATATACGCATCGGTGATTTTGCCGAATTTGAGCCCTGTTTTTGGCCAATTCCATTGTTCCAGTTGACCAAACTCATAGCTATTTCTTTAGAACTCCATTTTTTCTACCACTTGAGTACAAGAAACTGCCCATTTACCAATTTGAATTACCCAATAAAGTGGTCAGAAATTGGCAATTTGGCCAATTTCACGCAAATTAAAAGATGCCAATTTCAAAATAGGGTCTAGAATAAACAATGTAGACATTCTTGGCACTAAAATAACATATCCTCTGTTCATTAGTCACGTCTCTAGGCCCCTCTTATATTACTATTGCTTTCTATTTTGATTTTATATTCATACAAAAAATACAAAATTTACTGTTATGCAGACTACTGCATTATTGTAAAAATGGTATAAATAATATCAGTGCACTAGTGAAAGAATATTAGACTCCCCAGTTGATGTGTATTGGACGTGTGGTGTGATCTGCTTACTCTTGAACATTGGTAAAAATCGAACATTTCTGCTACTTTTAGCTCAATTTCAAGGCCGCTTTCATCGTGAAACTAATCAAAACCATCTCTATTTCTGCAATATGTTTTCCATTTTATCACCTGAGACCATGAAAATGAGAATACAACAATAAATACTATACGAAAATACACCTCAATGACGGCGTTTTAATAAAAAAAAACGGTCATTTTTTTTTCTCGTTATGCACTGCGTGCTGCAGGATTTTTTTTATGTGGTGCACACTGACCACACAGACCCATTCTCTCACATGTGGGCCTACCAGCTTTCTTCTGCTTGATTTGAAGCCGCTAGAATTACTGAATATATAGGTCCGAAACACTGGCCTGTAAGACATATATATACGACCAAAACAGTCAAAGGGTTAAGATCTAATGAACTGTTGGACTGTGAGCAGGGTAATATTTTGTGAAGAGATTGAGGGAAATCAAACCGTAATGAATCTGGCAAAGAGAGAAGGGTAAAGAAAAGAGAGAGATTTTGCGATATGTTAAATGAGTGTACAGGGAGTTTTGAACCAAGTGAGAGTGTAACTGTGCTACAGAACCTGTTGAAGAGGGCATAGCAGCTAAGTCTGGGGTGCCAAGGGTAAATGATAATTGGGGAACCTTTGGTTAAAGTTTGTACAGAAATAAGTTTGGTAATAGGTAATACATATATTAAGAAAAAGAGGATAAATAAGTAAACATGATAATAACAGGGCATAATGACAATAGTCTGTTGGACTGTGTATTTGTCGATAAAAGGTTGATGGGTAGACTTCTGGATGTATATGCTGTATGTTTATAGAGGGGGCAACAGATATATCAGATCATTATTTAGTTGTAGCTACAATGAGAATAAGAGGTAGATGGGGTATAATAAGAATGGCATTAACAAGTAAGAGAGAGGTGAAAGTTTACAAAATAAATGAGGAGGTAGTAAGGCAAACAAATGACAAAAGTACTAAATGTATTACATTACTAAGAAAATACTGTAATTATAAATAAAAGCTTATTACTCATTACCCATTTTGAATGAGCTTTGACATAAAGCTTAAATTTGGTAGAGTAAGTCGTAGGTCTGGCGTGGGGATGCCGCAATACCACCTCATCTGGGCAATATTCTTGTTTAGTAAAAACACACCATAGTTAAAATGCAGCTTCTCCCTCTCTTTCCCCCGGGTATATAATGGGAACCTGTCAGAATGGAAAGAATAGATAAATCCAAAGAGGTGTTTCTTGCTGTTATAACATTTAGTCTGAATTAAAGTATGGAATACATATTTATCGTGTAGGCCAAGAATAATTTTTATGTTTCGGGCTATCTCGTAATATAATGTGCACATTGAGGTTTCTATAAAAGAAACTTTCCTATAGTTAAACTTGAATAAAATTATGACAAGATATTATATAGCATTTTTTTTTTACATTATCGACTATTTCATACCATTGTCATGGGATCCAAAGGAGGAAACACAATCACTATAACTCATACAATGGCTGACAAAAAACACATTACACGGCAAGCTTTCATTGGGACAATATTTTGATGAGTACATATAAAGCCCTACACAGAGTGAAATGTCATGCTCATAAAAGCTTGCTCTGCAACTTCTGCTTTTCTTAACTGTTGTCAGTAGTATGCTAGTTGCATCATTCAACAGCTGTTGTGTTAAGACATGCTCCAACATCACAATTCAAATGACTTGCAACATCTAGTAATTAACCTAGTAAACCTGTTTTTATTCAAACACTATTATTATAGGGTAATTACAGATCTGATAGTTAAAAACAGAATAGGGGAGATGGAAGATGGGGAGTTGGAGGTATTGGGAAGATGGTGGGAATATTTTGAGGAACTGTAAAATGTTGATGAAGAGAGGGAGGCAGTAATTTCATCAATTCTCCAAGGAGGTATAACATTTTTTAGGAGTGAAGAAGGGCAGGATGTAATTGTAGGAGAGGTGCATGAGGCAATAGGTAAATTAAAGGGGATAAGGCAGCTGGAACTGATGAGATCATGAGAGAAATGTTAAAAGCAGAGGGAGGGGATATAGTGTTGGAGTGGTTGGTACTTTTGTTCAATAATTGTATGAAAGAGGGGAACGTACCTAGGGACTGTCAGAGAGCATGTATAATTCCTTTATATAAGGGAAAGGGGGACAAAAGAGATTGTAAAAATTATAGGGGAAGAAATTTACTGAGTACCAGGTGAAGTATATGGTAGGGTTATTATTGAATGACTTAGAGGTAAGACAGAGAGCAGGATTTCAGACGAACAAGGAGGCTCTAGAATGGGTAGGGGATATATAGATCAAGTGTTTATATTGAAGCATACAAGTGAATAATATTTAGATAAAGGTAAGGATGTTTTCATTGCATTTAGGGGTTTAGGAGGAAAGTGGATTAGGGAGCAATGTGGCAGATGTTGCAAGTGTATGGAATAGGTAGTTACTAAATGCTGTAGAGAGTTTTTATGAAGACAGTGAGGTTCAGGTTAGGATGTGTAGGAGAGAGGGAGATTACCTCCCAGTAAAAGGTCTTAGACAGGGGTGTGTAATGTCACCATGGTTGTTTAACATATTTATAGATGGAGCTGTAAAAGAAGTAAATACAAGGGTGTTGGGGAGAAGGGTGGGATAAATTATGGGGAATCAAATACAAAATGGGAGTTGTCACAGTTAGTTTTTGCTGATGATACTGTGCTTTTGAGAGATTCTACAGTGAAGTTGCAAAGGGTAGTGGACGAGTTTGGGAGGGTGTGTAAAGAAAATTGAAAGTGAACATAGATAAGAGTAAGGTGATGAGGGTATCAAATGAGTTAGGTAAAGAAAAATTGGATATTATATTGGCGGAAGTATGGAAGAAGTGAATGTGTTCGGATATTTGGGAGTAGATTTGTCAAGAGATGGGTTTATGGAGGACGAGGTTAATCATAGAAGTGATGAAGGAAAAAAGGTGAGAGGTGCATTGTGGTATCTGTGGAGACAAAATACTTTATCCACAGAGGCAAAGAAGGAAATGTACAAGAGTATAGTGGTGTGAAGCATAGGTTGTAAATGATGCAGCAAGGAGGAGACTGGAGGCAGTGGAGATGTCATATCTAAGGGCAATGTGTGGTGTTAATATTATGCAAAGAATTCTTAGTGTGGAAAATAGGTAGTTGTATGGAGATACAAAGAGTATTATTCAGAGGGCTCAAGAGGGGTTATTGAGGTGGTTTGGTCATTCAGAGAGGATGGAGCAAAACAGAATGACTTGGAGGGTGTATAAATCTGTAATGGAGGGGAGGTGGGGTAGGAGTCGTCCTAGGAAAGGACGGAGGGAAGGGATAAAAGAGGTTTTGTGTGCAAGGGGCCTGGACATGCAGCAGGCATATGTGAGCATGTTAGATGAGTGGAGATGAATGATTTTTGTGAAGGGATTCAGGGAAATCTGTTAACTGGACTTGAGACCTGGAGGTGGGAAGTACAATGCCTGCACTTTAACCCTTTCAGGGTCCAGAAGCCAAATTTCAAAGTGTGCACCAGTGTCCAAGAATTTTCAAAAAATAATTTTGTTATTTTTTTCTTATGAAATGATAGAGAAACTGTGTCTGAAGGTAATAAAACAAAAAGTACAAAACTTGATGGAAAATTGATGAAGTTATGCTCTCGCAAATTTTGATGTGTCAGCGAAATTTACGCATCAGCGATTTTGCCGACTTTGACTCCCATTTTAGGCCAATTACATTATCCCAATCGACCAAATTCATAGCTATTTCACTAGTATTATTTCTATTCTATCGATTGAGCACAAGAATTCGCCAAGTCAACTATTTCAACTACAAAATAAAATGATCGGAAACTGGTAATTTGGCCAATTTAATGCAAAGTTCAAAATACTCCACAGGCATTCCTGGCACTAAATTAACATTTCCTCTGTTCATTAGTTACGTTTTCAGGCTTTACTAATGAATTCCATTTTGATTTTTTATTCACATAATGAATTTTTATTCAAAGCAAAAAATAGAAGATTTACTGTTATGCAGTATTGTAATAATTGTATAAATAATATCACCACATTTGTGAACGTATATTAGACCCATCATCAGGCGTGTATTAGATGTGTGAGGTCATTTGTTTACTCTTGAACATCGGCAAAAATTTAACATTTCCGCTACTTTGAGCTCAGTTTCAAGCCATTTCCTGTACTAAAACCAATCAAAATCATCTCTATTTCTGTAATATATCTTCCATTCTATCAAATGAGACCAAGAAATCGCAAATACAACAATAAAAAACATACAAAAAAGCACTGCAAAGTCGCTGTTTTAATCGAAAATTACGGTCTCAGTTTTTTTTCTATTATGCATTATGTGCTGTAGCATTTGTTTTATGTGGTGCACACATACCACATAGATGCATTCTTTCATATCTAGGCCAAAATTTACTGCTCACAGCTAATCAGAGTGAGCCGAGCTCATGACGTAGATCTACGGTTTGGACCCTCAATATAAAGCCGTATATCTATGGCACGGACCCTCAAAGGGTTAAAGGAGGGATTTGAGATATTGGCTGCTTGGAGTGACATCTAAACTGTCATATCAAGGCACCTCTGCAAAGACTGATTATATGTGAATAATGGTGAAAGTGTTTCTTTCTTTTTTGGGTCATCCTGTCTCAGTGGTAGACGGCCACCATGTTGAAAAAACAAAATTTCAGTAAACCCTCGATATAATGAACTTAAAATTAAGAGTAAAATTACTGGTTTAAGTGTGTATGGCTCTTTCATTTTCAATATTTATTGCAATATATAAGTAGAAGGTTGGTAGACAGCAACCACCCAGGGAGGTACTACTGTCCTGCCAAGTGAGTATAAAATGAAAACCTGTAATTGTTTTACATGATGGTAGGACTGCTGGTGTCTTTTGTCTGTCTCATAAATATGCACGATTACAGGTATGTCTTGCTACTTCTACTTACACTTAGGTCACACTACACATACATGTACACGTTTATTTATACACACTCATCTGAGTTTTCTTTGATTTTATCTTAATAGTTCTTGTTCTTATTACTTTTCCTTTTATATCCATAGGGAAGTGGAATAAGAATCTTTCCTCCATAAGCCATGAGTGTTGTAAAAGTCAACTAAAATGCCGGGAACAATATGCTAGTAACCCCTTTTCCTGTAATGATTACTAAAAAGAATAAGAGGAAGAAAACTGTCAAAGTGGGATGTCTGAATGTGTATGGATGTTGTGCGAATGATAAGAAAGACACAATTGTGGATGTTATGAATAAGAAGAAGCTGTTTGTCCTGGCTTTAAGTGAAACAAAACTGAAGGGGGTGGGAGAGTTTCAGTGGAGAGAAATAAATGGGATTAGGTCAGGGGTTTCAAATAGAGTTAGAGCTAAAGAAGGAGTAGCAATAATGTTGAAGGATAAGCTATGGCTGGAAAAGAGTATAAATGTATTAATTCAAGGATTATGTGGAGTAAAATAAAGGCTGGATGTGAAAAGTGGGTTATAGTAAGCATATATGCACCTAGAGAAGAGAGAATTGTAGAGGAGAGAGATTTGGGGAAATGTCGAGTGAATGCGTGGGGAGTTTTGAACCAAGTGTGAGAGTGCTTGGGGTTGGGGATTTCAATGATGAAGTGGGTAAAAATGTTGTGGAGGGAGTAGTAGGTACATTTGGGGTGCCAGGGGTAAATGAAAATGGGGAGCCTTTAATTGAGCTATGTGTAGAAAGAGGTTTGGTAATAAGTAATACATATTTTATGAAAAAGAGGATAAATAAATATACAAGGTATCATATAGCACGTAATGAAGGTAGTTTATTAGATTATGTATTGGTGGATAAAAGGTTGATGGGTAGGCTCCAGGATGTACACGTTTATAGAGGGGCAACAGATATATCAGACCATTATTTAGTTGTAGCTACAGTTAGAGTAAGAGGTGGGTAGGACAAGAGGAAAATAGGAACAACAAATAAGAGAGAGGTGAAAGTGTATAAACTAAGGGAGGGGGAAGTTCGGGTGAGATATAAGCAACTAATGGCAGAAAGGTGGGCTAGTGCAAGTATGAGTAGTGGAGGTGGTTGAACAGGGTTGGAATAGTTTTAAAAATGCAGTATTAGAATGTGGGGCAGAAGTTTGTAGTTATAGGAGGGTGGGTGCAGGAGCAAAGAGGAGTGATTGGTAGAATGATGAA